AGGGAACCTGATGCTGGACTCTGTGAGCCGTGAATAAGTGATCGCTGTTGTTTTCATCACAATCTTTGCAAAGATGTAAATATTAGAAATCCAGGTCACAGGATCATATATTTTTTCATCCTGGAAAAGATCTTAAGGAGAGTTTCCTTTAATCTCACTTTCCTAATGAAACCAAATCAAAGAGAATGAAAAACATGGCTAACATGGTATGTGACAGTCTAGGACAGGTTACACCCAGGCATACCCTTTCTTTCCAGAATGGGTACTACTGCTCTGGGCAGCACTTTGGGACAGGGGAAGTCATGTGTTTCCAGTAATACTGGGTCTGGAGTTTGAATGCTCACTCTCCTGTGGACCAGGAGTATCCTCGAGCAAGTTATTACAGTATCTCTGCACCTTAAACTAAAAAAAACCCAAACTCACTGCTGTGGAGTTGGATCCAACTCATAACGACCCCTCCTTGGGTTTCTGAGGCTGTTTCTCTATGGAAGTAGATTGCCCAGTTTTCCTTCCAAGGAGTGGCTGGTGGGTTTGAACCGCCAGCCTTCTGCAGTTTACATTGCTTAAAATGGAACCAGTAATTGTTACCTCACAGGGCAGTGCTGAGAGGATCCAGTGGGCACAGAACATCGCTTCAATACTTCGATCAAACAAGAAAGTTTGTTTATCATTTTCCTTCTTGGTGATATGTTTTGTTTCTCTTTGACCTCAGGTTCCTGGAGGTGAGCACAAGCTGTGGCTAGAAGCAGGGGGAAGTAGAAGGCAGATCCTAGCCCAAATCTGGCCATTATTAGACAATGGCAGCTGAGCCAAGAGTGACCAGGTCCCTGAACTCTGTGGCCCAGACTTTGAGACAACTTTTCATGGTTGAGAAAGAGGAGAATTTGAGCATTGGAACAGAAAAGGAAGATAATCTCTTGGAGCAGATATGTTGGCCATAGGAAGCCACACCAACACCTGGGGCCTTTGCATGGTCTCCCTCTCTGCTCAGTTACTGGGAAGTGGAGAGTCCCAGGAAGGGATCCAGTCAGGAATGGACAAAGCTAGAAAGAGACACTGTGGAAGAAGAGATGTTGGGCCAACTGAGGTCAATGCAAACTGTCCAGAAGGAGCTCCCTCAAGTGGGCAAGGTGGCAGCAACCCTGCAGGAAGTCAAGAAGAGAGAGTGCTGGTGGGTGGAATGGGTGAAGGTGAGGAGAGCAGCCAAAGAGAGGGCAGGACCAGGTCCTAAACTCCAGGAGCTCTTTCATCCATTCTCCTGTTTGCAGGTCAAATGGACTGTTCTAGATGGAGGGATACCCAGGAAAAGGAGCTTCAAGGCCTTTCTCAGTCACCACTGCACCAATACCCTCCTAGCATCCTCTGTTCCTCTGTGGAGTCTGAAATTCATCAGAGTGACAGGCTTTTCTTCTTTGCTTTTCTTTCCTACTTATCTCTGTATATCCTCTTCTCTTTTCTCTCCATATCTTCTCTTTTTATCCTTCCTTATCTCAGAATTGCTAGCTTTGTACCTGCCTTTTCATATTTCTGTCTTGCTTCTGTGGTTTTATTTTTCTCTTAAGTCTTAACCTCAGTTTCTGGCTTCATATCTGTCTTTTCATATTTTTCCCTCCTTGCATGATTTTATTTTTCTCTTAGGTTTTAATTCTCTGAATCTTGAGACTGGATGTCCATCTGTGTATACATTTCTTCCATTTCTTCATTCCATTTCTACCCAACTCCACTTCTCTCCTGTTGTTCCAGAAGCCAGTCACTTTTTCTTTTTTTTAAATTGTGATTTGGGGAAAGTTTACAAAGCAAATTCACTTTCCATATAGCAGCTCACCTACACTTTGTCTTATGACATTGACTGACAGTGCAGCAGTTCCCCTCCTACTTTCTCCCCATAGTTAGCTCTTCCCTGTGTCCTTCCCTCCATGCATTCCTGCCCCCTGAGCTGTCCCCTTGTGCATACACAGCCCTTCTATTCTCTCATGATTGTTCTTTTCAGGGAGTGTATTTACCTAATGTAAATGTTCAGCTCACATGCCTGTCTTTTATTTGGCTACAAGCCACAGGAGTGGGTTCAATTCTGGACCTGAAGGGCAGCTAGGGGCCATAGTCTCAGTGGTTCTCTTGGGTTCTATCAGACCAGCAAACCTGGTCCCCCCTCCTTTTATTTTTTTTTAATAATTTTGAGTTTTGTTCCACATTATTCTCCCATTCTATCCAATATCTCCTACATAGATCTCCCTCTGAGTGGTTGACAGTGGTAGCCGGGCACCATCTAGTTCTTCTGATCTTGTAGTAATATGGTTGAGGATTGCATGGTGTATCAGTCACTTGGACTAATTGTTTCCATGCATCTTTGGTTTTATTCATTCTTTTCTCTGTATGAGAAGAGACCCATTGTTGCATCCAGATGGCCTCTTGCAAGCTTTAAAAATCCCAGTCACTACTCACCAAAATAGGATGTGGAACAATGTTTTTGTGTAGTATGTTATGCTAATTGAGCTTGATGTCCCCTGTGATTATGGTCCTGAGCCCACAGGTCGAACTACTTGCTTCCTCTGGGTAGCTGGCTGTGGCCAAGAAGTGACTACAACCTTGTCCCTTGTCAGGTCTACTGTATACCTGGGAATTCTTAGAGAACATACCAAGACACTTGTAGAAACATTGTCTGCCAACTCTATACATGGTCCTGGGCACACTTCCCCCTGCATAGAGATACCTAATAGTTCAGCCTGGCCACCCATCTATCCACCTGTATGTCCATGTTTGCCTTCACTGAGAACACAGTACTGTATGTGCAAAAGGTTTCTTCTTTGTTGTCTGTGCCTCCCATGAACCTCTCTATGTCTTCTGCTTCCTCAGTGCCACTATTTTGACCACTCACATTTGGTACATTGCTCTTCTCTTCACCCAAATCAATACTTGTTTCTACCTATTTAATAGTGTTCCCTCCCCTCCCCTCCCACCCCTGGCAACAAACAAAGAAAATTTCCTTCCATATATAAACCTTTCCTTGACTTTTTACGATAATGGACTAATAAAATATTTGTCCTTTGATTGACTTATTTCACTCAGCATAATGTCCTCCAAGTTCATCCACATTATGTGGTGTTTTGCAGATTCTACGTTATTCTTTAGGGTTGCATAATATTTCATTGTGTGTATGTACTGTAGTTTGGTTATCCATTCTTCTGTTGATGGACACCTAGGTTGTTCCCATACTTTGGCTATTGTAAATAATGCTGCAATGAACACAGGTGTGCATATATCTGTTCTTGTCATGGCTCTCACTTCTTTAGCATATATACCTAGTAATGGAATGGCTGGGTCAAATGGTATATTAGAAAAAGGAATTAGATCCAACTTTTTAAGGAATTGCTGTACTGCCTTCCACAGTGGTTGTATCATTTTACTGTCCCATCAGCAGTGTATGAGAGTCCCAATCTCTCTGCATACTCACCAGCATTTGTTATTTTCTGTCTGCTTGTGCTAGGGCAAGATGGTATTTCATTGTTGTTTTGATTTGCATCTCTCTAATGGCTGATGATCGTGAGCATTTCTTCATATGTTTTTGGCTACCAGAAGCCAGTCACTTTTGATGATGTGACAGTGAACTTCACCCGGGAAGAGTGGAAATGTCTAGATACCCTCTAGTCAGAGCGGCCTCTATTGGGATATTATGTTTGAGACTTTCAAGAGTCTGGCATCTGTAGGTGAGTGACTGGGGTTCTCTCAGTAATCCCCTTGTCCCAGGGCACTGGGACATCTGTTTTCCCAGGGCAGGTGAATCAGCTCATCATGAGCTTCACTGACCTCTGGTTCTTACCTGTCCAGGTGTGGAAGGTCTGGGTCACTAAGATTAGGGTACAAGGAAAAAAAAATGAAAACCTGCTTAAAAGCAAAAATAACACTCTAACATAATGGCAGTGTTCTCCGAATACACAAATTTGCCTTGAAGATTATTCATGTAACTGATATTTTCTGAGTCATTCCTGTGTGTCAGGCACTTTGCTAGAATCTGGCCTATTGAGTATCTCTTCTCTGTGTCTGTTTCCCAGATTATGAGTGCTAAATCAAGGACATAGAAGATAGCCTATTGTCCCTACCAGGTGTGAAGGGGCCAAGTCTGAACCAATTCATCTCCTTCTCTTGTTCCTCCTACTCTCCAGCCAGAATCTTTCTGCCTAAACCACATCTGATCACCAACACTGAGCAAGCAGAGGAGCCATGGAGAACAGATTGCCATCCCACAAAGGAGACTCCCTCCCTTTAGGTAAGAATTGTGAAGGAGAGAGGAAGGTGAAAGGGGCCTAAGACAGGCCCTGGAAGGATGGAGGGCTGACTGAGAATATCTAACTTGCACCTTTCTAACCTGGTCATACTTGGAGCTGACAGAGATTTGAGATCATCAGCTCTAGTCCTTTGGCTTCAAGAAGGTATTTAAGCCATTTAGGACAAATGATGAGTTTAGTTTCTAGAAATTGGGAGTCTACATGTTGCTTCTGTCAGTGATAACTCTTTGATTAAAAAGTTCTCTCTGAGAAAAGAGAAGCAAGGGAAATATACTTGATAGTATGCTGGAGTAGTTAAGAAGATGCTGTCCTTGAGAGTAGAAAAATTGAGATTTCAAGCAGGTTGACCATACTTTCTGATTTGCCAAGAATGTTCTGATTTATACATCATATCCCAGCTTAATTATTAATGGCACCTCCTTTCTCTCTCCAGTATTCCAATTTGGATGGTAATGTTGTGTGGTCACTCGTGGGTATCTGTGACACCATAGAATGTGGATGATATTGAGAATGTGAGGAAATGAATTTCAAGATGTAGGGTTGTAGGTTAAGATTTTGATCTCCCATCACAATGTTGAGAAAGTCCGGTAAAATTTTATTGATTTTAATTAAAAAACCTAAAAGTGTGTTCTTATCTCTAGCCTATGAGTTCCAAGCATGAGGGTGAATGTTTTGAATGTGGGGGAGGATAGAAAGAGGGAAAGTAGATTGGACGGAATGGAGTACTTGGGTTGGTGTTCTCCTGGTGAATCTTGTGTTATTTTTTCTCATTACTACAGAAGGCAAGGAGTATAAGAAACTTTGAGAACAGAGTCAACATCTGAGAGATAGGACTGATGAAGACAAGATCTCCCCTGCTGGGGAGTGGGCAGGCCAGAGCCCATCCTCTGCTCCAGTCAGGTTCATGGTCAGGATCCCAGTGTTTCCAGCATCCCAGGCTGGGTCATCCCTTTGCTGCCACACTTGTGGCAAATGTTTTAAGAAACACCCCCACCTCCATAGCCACCAATTTGTTCACAAACCCAAGTGGACTTTTAACTGCAGCCAGTGGGGGAAATCATTTACGAGACCCAAGACCTTCAGCTGCCACAAGCACTTGCATCTTGGGGATAATCCCTTCTGTTGCTCCATCTGTGGCAAGACCTACTGTGACCCATCTGGACTGAGTCGCCACTACCATGTCCATCTGGGTTACTGGCCCCATCAATACCCCCTCTGTGGGAAGGGCTTCCAGGACCAGTCAGAGGTTAAATGCCACCAGAAGACACAGCAACACCAGGAGCCAGTGACAGGGAAGCAGGAGCATATTGTGAGGCTTCCAGGCCCCACAGCTGGATTCCAGGAGCCAGATGTCCATCCATCCAGGGGTCCATGGCTGGGAGCCATGCACCCATCTCTAGAACCCAGGATCCCATGGACAAAACCTGGGCATCCATCATTAGGAACCAGGCACCAGTGGCCAGGACCCAAGAGTCCATATTTGGAACTAAGGGTTCTATGGCCCAGACCCAACCATCTATGGTTAGAAGCCAGACATCTGTGGCCAGGAACCAGATGATCTTTATGAAAACTCAGGCACCAGTAGTTACAACCAAGGGTCCTGTGACCAGGATCCAGGCACCCAACATTAGAACCCCCTGTTTGGATACCAGGTCCAACTCTTGCCCAACAAGGCCCACAAAATGCAAGGTGTTCTCTTGCCCCCATTGTTCCTTTACTTTCAGCAAAAAAAAAAGCCTATCTCTTCAGCCACCAGAAGGCCTATCTCACAGAGCAGCAAAACTGCTGCTTCCATTGTGGAAAATCCTTTAGCTCATTCTCCAAGCTAATGTGGCATTAGCAGACCAACTGGAAGCAGAAGATCTACCCTTGCCCTATTTGTGACCTCTGCTTTGGGGAGAAGGAGGGCCTAGTGGGCCATTGGAGGAGCCACAAAGGCAAGGGGCGATGCCTGGGAAGCCCCCATAAATGCTGGGTGGTCCTGAGCCAATGGCTCGGCCTGCCTCACACTGCCAACTCCATGGCAAGGACAGATGGGAAGCATGGAGGAAGTGGGTCTTCTCCTAGGATCCCTACCCCCAGGAGAGGGGAGGTAAGGGAAATAGCATAGAAAGGAGACAATGCAAAGAAGGGTCTTGGAAAATAAATAAATAGCCTTTCTGACTGAGGTTTTTCTTTTGTTTTGTTTTCCTGAGGACTGACCTCCAGGGTAAGGAGGCTATGGTGGAAGGAGAGATAATGAAGGAAATACAGAAAGGAAAAGGAAAAAGTGGCACAGGGAAACTCATATTATTATTAATTAGCACCTAGCCTGTTGCTTTGTGTCTGATAGACCATCAACTAGTAATTATTGAATAAATCAGTGGATACTCTGACAGGTGTGAAGACGAGAGAAAAAAAGATGAGGGAAAGAGTGTGACGGACCCATGGGAGATGTGGAAGTAGAAGGGGAAACATTCTAAAGCAGATATGTTGCCAGGTTCTCTTTCCTTGTGCCTCCAGTTCCTCACTAGGCTGCTGAGATGAGATGGAGCTCTGCCCAATATTCTATGGGTTTCTCCCCAGCTCTCTCTTGATGTTTTGGACTTGTCCTTTTCTTTTCTTCTGCCCTGTTAGCTCTGCTTAGTCAGGGTTGAGGTCTTTGAAGAAAGAACCATTTGCAAAGTTAAAGAAAAAAAAAAAAAAACAACTCTGCTGTGGAGTCAAATTCAACTGATAACAACCCCTCCTTGGGTTTCCGAGGCAGTATCAATAGAGAAGTAGACTGCCCAACCTTCCTTCGGACGAGTGGCTGGTGGGTTTGAACCACCAGCCTTCTGGTTAGCAGTCAAAATGCCTTAGGCACTATGCTACCAGAGTTGTCATGCTGTAATTTACAACAAGGAAGTTCCTGGTCTCCAGTTCTTAGCAGAGGTTCTTTTGTCCTTGTAACTCTCCAGCACAGGCATCCTCTGGTGGAAGGAAGAGCACTCCCATGGCCATGGCCAGAGGGCTTCCAGGTGGGAGAACGGAGAGAGGCATGGAAAGATGTAGGCAGCAAAAATGAGGACAGGAAGGAAAGAACTAGGAAAAAGAAGGTAGTTGTCAGAAGAAGGAATATCAATCCTATTTGAAATTCAGAGTATTTCTGAAAGGGCAGATTGGAATGTCCCAAAGCAAGGAAGCCTGTGAGGGTGCGACTCTGATGGATGAGACACCCCAAGGACCAATTCCGGGAACAGCCAGGCTCCTCTGTTGTGACATCACTCAGAAGGGGTTTCCTAGAAGAAGGAAGAGAAAATAACTTGAGAAAAATCTGCCTTTTCTTTTAAGTTTTTTTTTTTTTAATTGTGATAAGAATATATGTAACAAAACTCTGCCAGTAGTTTTTAATCATGAAACTATTGAACTAGGGAAGAGAAAAGCCTGGAATAATCATGTCTGTGTGGGAGCTCTGGTAGAGTAGTGGCTAAGGCATTTGACTGCTAACCAGAAAGAAGGCTGAAGGTTCAACCCCACCAGCCACTCCTCAGAAGGAAGATGGGGCAATCTACTTCCTTAGTGATACTGCATGGGAAACCCAAGGAGGGGTCGCTATGAGTCGGGTCTGACTCGATGGCACGTAACAACAACAACATGTGGTTAAGCCAGGAAGTGAAGCACTGGGCAGCTGCTTTGACTGGGAACGGGAAAGGAGGCAGCTAATAGCAAGTGGCATTCCTGCTGAGGTCACTGAAGGTGGAGCAAACCAGATGGTAGGTAAGAGTGCCCCCAGCTTCCTTCCCTGCCACCTCCATCCAGAGTCTCTGAAAGCTGGCTCCTTAGCTTCTACCTCACAGGTCCACCCTGTGTTCTCCAGACCCTCATCTCTTCTCTGGGATTTTCAACCCTCAATAGCCCTCCTTGTCACTTCTGCCTCCCTTTCCTGCCTTTTCTCAGGTTTTAAGAAGCAGAAGACAACTTACTTAGCTCTTCAAGGAATTGCCCTGAAAACAGAGAAATAAATACATAATTAATAAATATGTGACTAGCTCCCTCCCCGACATCCTCCCTGTGGAGATCCACATTGACCCATCCTTTCACTAAGGGACCCCGCAGATCTCAGTAAGTGGTTCTCTTCATGGTATTTCTGAGGGGCCAGGGGTTGGGTGTGGGCAAAGAAGGAAAGGAAATCCCAGCGCCCTGAATCTTGAGCCCTGGTTCCACCCTCTTTATTTCCTGTTCAGGGCTGACTTGGTCTGTTTCCTGTACTGCCACTCCACCTGCTAGTCTTCGATGTAGCCAGTTGTAGCAGATGATCAAGGCAACCAGGGGTCCAAGAACCGGCACGATTACAAACAGGGTGATCTTCCAGGGGGGAACTCTCAGAAAGTGGGGATCTGGAGCGTTCACAGCAGAACAAACAGGGTTAGTGCTCCCCCTGAAATCCCACCCACCCTTTTCCATTCTTAGGTTTCTTAACATGGGGTCCAAGAACACCAAAAGAACTTGTGGATAGAATCCAGGGAGCCCATGAACTTGAATGTTTTCACTGACCTCTAGCTGAATTTAGCATTGTCTTTCAGTGTAAATGCAGGCAACAGACCACAGTCAAAATCTCAAAATCTTATTCGTGTCCCATTAGAGTTGTTCCAAAAATCTCAAAATATTATTTACACTTTGAAATTATAAGAGATCATTAGACTTGCTTTTGTTACTTAATGTGTTATGTTACTTAATGAAACATCTATGTCACTATAGCATAAATTTGTATATATTTTGATAACTGTATTTCCATCCAGCAGCTTTCCTCACAATCCTATGTGTTACAGTGTATGTGTATGTGCATTATTCTGGCTTCACTAGACTGCTAAAGAGAGGTAAGACTTCTTGCTATTAAGATTAGCTAAGTATATAGATTCCTTGTTCTATTACTGTACTCCTGTACTCATGGAATTTTACTCTGCTGTGAGTATAGTAGATGATATATATATTCACTTTGTAGTCCATTTAGTTCATGTATGTGTATCCCTTTCCCAGCCAGACACTAAGTTCAAGTGCAAAAGTGCTATTAGAATTCTACAAAACAAAGATCCTATTCCTCCCCTCTGGATATGCAGAGAATGTGTGTGTGTGTGTACAGGCTTCCACCCTGGTTCAATGTCATAAACTCTTGGATGTGCTAGGTGTTGGATGAACAGAATAGGGTTGCTTTCTGCCTCAGGAGGGCTGACCGGAGCAGGGACTATCTGTACTCTGTTGTTGGGTGCTGTTGAGTAGATTCTGAGGTAGAGTGACCCCAAGTACAACTGGCTCATAGGGTTGTCTAGGCTGTAATCTCTATGGATGCAGATGGCCAGATATTTTTCCCATGGAATGGCTGTGGGTTTCAACTGCCATTGTTTTGGTAATCAGCTGAATGCTTAACCATTTTGCCACAAAGTCTCCTTATCTGTGCTCTCCCTAATGAAATTATATACTTTATTAACATCCATTCATTTATTCAACAAATATTCAGGTGCCCTTCTGGTGCAGGTATTGCCCTTAGGCACTAGGCAATCTGCAGTGAACAAAAAGGGCAATGAGCACATATCCTTGAGGGGCCAAAATTCTAGTGGGGCTCGATGGCTTCACTCTTCCTCCAAGAAGCTTTCCTTGATTAGCCAAGTATATAATTCCCTTATTCTATTACTCCTTCTGTACTCATGGAATTTCACTCTGCTGTGAATACAGTAGATATACATACTTTGTATTCCAGTTAGTTCATGTATATATATCCCTTCCCCAGACAGACAGTAAGTTCAAGTGCAAAGGATCTGTTTCTCTCCCCTTTGTAATTACTGTAAAGAGAGGTAATGTACACAAAGTGCTTGTAACTCCTACAAAGTGAGTTAACGTATGTGAAGCTGTTAGACTAGTGCCTGGCACATAAAAGCGTTATATACAAAACCAAACTCACTGCCACAGAGTCGATTCTGACTCATAGCGACCCCCATTGGGTTTCCAAGGCTGTAGATCTTTACGGAAGCAGACTGCCACATCTTTCTTCTGAGGAGCAACTGGTGGGTTTGAGCCACTGACCTTTTGGTTAACAGCCAAATGCCTCAATCCACTACACCACCAGTGCTCCTTTTAAAACTGTTATTCAGGTCTTTGCAATTATTTTACCGATTCTGGATGCAAACAATGATTTACAAAGAAAGAGGAAGAGGGGGAAGGGGCCAGCCTGGAGCCAGGTGTCCTTGTTCCTCCAGGTGACTGATTATTGCTGTCATAGGACCTCATGTGTGCAGGATAAAACTGCACTCCACAGGGCTTTTCAAGGCTGTAAACTTTCAGAAGCAGATCACCAGGCTTGTCTTCCGAGATGCCTCTGAGTGGTTTCCAACCTCCAACCTTTTGGCTCGTAATTGAGCGCTTAACCCTTTGTGCCACTCAGCCCGAGTGAAACACCAAGCTGGTCACAGATGGCCAGGATATGCCAGCACTTACCAAAAGTCCGGTGGAGGTTCTCTGAAAGGGACAAACGGAAATGCATTTAGTAGGACATCCAAAGCAGAGAGGAAGGGTGTCTTTTCTCTTTCTGAGTCTTTGTTATTTAATGTCTTAGAAATTGTTTCTAGTAGTAACAGTAGGGGAAGGGAACATGTAGCATTTCCCTTCTACTCTGGGTGAATGCAGGGAGAAGAATATGGCTACAGTAGTTTACATAGTGAGTTTCCCGCCTGCAGGGAACACTGGATAGTGGGAGAGAGGAGCAGATGGTCAAGGAATGGTCAGGGAAAATGACCATTTCATTTAGGCCAGAGGAGCAGAAGGGAAGGATGGAGGTGTCTGGAACTCACCTATCTCTGCTCGAAGTTTTCCTAAAATAGAAAAAGGCAACATTTTTAGCTCATGCTCTGGCACCAGGTGAGCCCCCTCCCATACCCAGAACCCCATGCCTTTATGTGAGCTATTTCTCTGTAGACTGGAAGCATCCATAACTAATTCACTGCCATTGAGTCAATTCTGACTCACAGCGACCCCCGTTGGGTTTCCAGGGTGGTAAATCTGTATGGAAGTAGATTGCCCAGTCTTCCTTCCGCAGAGTAGCTCATGGCTTTGAACAGCCAACCTTCTGGTTAGCAGTCAAATGCCTTAGGCATTGCACCACCAGAATTCCTTCCACAGGGCAGTGGAAGGAGCACTGGGTTTGAAGCCAAGACGCTGCGTAGTTCAGGTTCTGTCTCTGGCTAGCATGTGAACGAAATATTATAATATTATAATGAATGCTAAGAGGCTTGGTAAACAGCAGTGCCCCAAGCAATATGAGACTTTATCATCTTGCCAACTGCTCTTGGCTCCTTTCTGCAGGTGGGGTGGGGTGGGGTGGGGTGGAGGATTCTGTTCATGATCTACTCCACCCCTCTGTGTTGTTATTTTCTAAATCTAAAGCCACTTCCCCATTTGAATGAAGAAGGATGGTACTAAACATTTAGTGAGCAGCTACTTTGTGACAGACTCTGTACTGGGCCCTTTCAATATATTATCCTTTTTAATCCTGCCCACACTCTGTTGTTATTAGCTGTAGTGAGTTGGCTCCAACTCATGGCAACCTTATGTATAATGAGTAAATATTGCCTGGTCCTGCATCATGTTCGTAATCATTGGTATGTTTGAGCCTGTTGTGGCTATTGTCAGTTCATCGTATTGAGTTTCCCTTGTTTCTGCTGACCCTCTGCTTTACCAAACATGAAGTCCTTTTCTAGAGACTGGTCTTTCCTAACGATGGTCCAAGTAAGACGAAGTCTTGCCATTCTCACTTCTAAGGAGCATTCTGGTTTTATTTCTTCTAAGATTGATTTGTTCATTCTTCTGTCATTTCACAATGTAGTGGATATTCTTTGCCAACACTGCTATTCAAATGCATCTATTCCTACATGTTAGTAGGGGGGATGGTCTCTCCACTTGACAAGGCAACTGAAGCTTGGAAAGCCTAAGAATTTTGCTCAACGTTTGAATTGTCGGTAAGTGCCTGAGCTGGGATTCAAACCCAGGCTTCCTGACTCCATTGAGCAGGTTCTTTCTGCTCACCTGTGGAGACTGATGTCCTTTTTCATGTGGGAGAAATAGGCTACTGAGCACCTGGTATGAACTCAAGGGAAGAGAAAAGATACTGACCCCCTCATATGCCCTCCTTGCTGCTTTGTCCTCTGTAGTAATGGGAGGGGAAGGAATGAAGGCCCTGCATGCTTTGGCACTGGGGACACTTGGTGGGCTCAGATCAGGAAACTCTGAGCACAAAAGGAGCTTCAAAGATGGGTAAATCCAAGTCTTCAGTGTTGAATGAAAAAGCAAGAAGCAGTACTTTTGAACATCTACTATGTGGAAGGGCCATTTACTTACAGTATCTTTATTTAAACCTCTTAATAGCCTGTTGTTGCTGTTAGGTGCTGTTGAGTCAGCTCTGACTCATAGTGACCCTATGTACAACAGAATGAAACACTGCCCAGTCCTGCGCCAGCCCCACAATCCTTGCTATACCTGGGCCCATCATTGCAGCCACTGTGTCAATCCATCTCATTGAGGGCCTTCCCCTTTTTTGCTGATGCTTCACTTTACCAAGCATGATAGATAGCCTTCTCCAGGGAGTGGTCCCTGCTGACAACATGGCCAAAGTAGGTGAGACAAAGTCTGGCCGTTCTTGCTTCTAAGAAGCATTTGGCTGCACTTCTTCCAGGACAGATTTGTTAGTTCTTCTGGAAGTCCATGGTACTTTCAGTATTCTTCACCAACACTACAACTCAAAAGCATGAACTCTTCCTACTAGCCTAGACCTGTCCAACACTGAAGCTCCAACTCTCCCAGTTCCATGAAGCTGCTAGAAGTGGTATAGAAGATGGGAGTTAGACCTGAGCTCTGCCACTTACAAGCTGCGTCAGCCTGAGTAAGTCACTGAACCTCTCCAGGCCTCAGTTACCTCCTGTGTAAAATCAGACTCTTGTATGTCAGTCCTGCCTCTTAAAGAAAGGAAAGGTCCAAGCTGTAAAGCTTTACAGTGTCATGACATTCTGAATCAAATAATCAAAAATGAATGTGAACTGACTGAGCTCTGAGAGACCAGGTCATTTCAGGAAGGACCCTTATCTGCCCACCATTCCCGTACCTCTGAGTCTGTGTTGCAGGCAGAGGTAGACAAGGCCCACGGTGATCTGCAGAAGCAACAAAGGCAGGACGGCAATGAGGACCAGCATTCCTGGGCTGATCCAGTAGAAAGGGTCTGAAAGACACAATGGCATTGTCTCTTATTGTGTGCTCAACTCCCAGCACAGGACCTGGGCTCATAAATTGGGTTGGATAAAGGAATGAATGTCACTGAGATTCAAAGAAAGTAACAAAGAATTGACACCTGAGATTAGCCTTGAAGGAAAAGTGGTGTCCCCCCTCACACACATACCCCAGGAAAGGCTAGCTATTTAGAATGATTAGTCAATGCTGTGCATTGAGGTAGGCTTGGGGAATTTTAAGAACCAACTAAGGGAGTCTCTGATCCTCAAGGCCATGATGCATTGAAACATCCCAAGCTGGGCAATGATTCTATTAAATTTACTGAGTGGAGGAGGGAGGTCATTTGGGAGGCCATGGTTAAAGAAACAAGACAAGTCTAAGCTAGGACTGTGGTGGTGGTATAGGAAGTTGGGATATTTTGTATCTAAGTTCGTTTATATGTGTGTATATTTTTTTTCCCTGTAACTTTAAAAGTAAAATTTAGTGTTTCTTTCTATTATGCTTATAGGTGACACACTATAATAATATGAGTAGAACTTTGTCATCAGTAAAAATCAAAAAGATTTTCACATCACCTTAGAGTTGTTGCAGATCATTACTATTTTGAAATTATGCTAATTAGGGCCACCCTACATCTTGTAATTTTAATATTTTAATAACTGTATTTTGGTACAAGGAGCTCTGGTGGTGTGGTGGTTAAGGCATTCAGCTGTTAACCAAAAGGCCAGCAGTTCAAATCCACTAGCCAGTCCACAGGAGAAAGATGAGGCAGTCTGCTTCCGTAAAGATTTACAGCTTTGGAAACCCTATGGAGCACTTCTACTCTGTCCTATAGGGTCACTGGAAGTCAGAAGCAACTCAGTGGCAATGGATTTGGTTTTGGTATAAGTATATTTTATTTCATACATTAAAAAAAAAAATTATTCTGAGAAGAAGAGAGTCCATCAACTTGACCAGCCTGTGAAACGGGTTCGTGACACAAATAAAGATTAAAAATCCATCTGGAGCTTTTAAGAAAGTAAGGTCCCCAGGCTTGGGAACTGATTGGATGTGGAGTGGGAAAGGCAATGCAGGAAGGGGATGACCTTCACCTCTTTCGCTCTGTGCTTTGGCCCCCGTTTATATCTCCATTCTAGCATCAGCTCTGCAGTGCCCAGAGCTCTTACCCGTCTACTCTCAATGTGCCCTCATGCTGCGGTTGGAGCCCTTTCCATCTTCTCTGCTTTTGGGGGACTAGATAAAGATATTGCTCTCAAAATAGGGATTAAGTCACAGTCAGGAACATTAAACTGGTCCAGGAGGGTTTCTTAGTGTAAATTCAATTCCTTAGATTGCAGACAATGCTCTTGTTTGTAACTGTGTCCTTTAGAGGGAAATGCAGCAAACATTACTTTCAAGATCTTGTTGAAAGTTACCTGGAGCGGTGTGATTTAAAAAGTACAAACTCTAGTTCTTTTTTTTTTTTTTTTGCATAAATTTTACAAAAGATTAGAATCAGAGAAAATCAGGTATTACAAGCCTCCTGATATAAAGCAATTAGAAGTATATAGTATCACTTGCAAAGTATGCTTGCCAAAATAAATCAACCCTGAATCTGATCATGACTCTAGATTTGTAAGTTTACAAGAAATACAGGGCATGGAGGACCATGTTAAACAACAACATGGAAATGCTACCAGCAAAATCCGCACTGTGGGAAACCCTACAGGGCAAACACCAACGTGTGGATCATGTCTGGATCTGTTTCAAACAATTAGCAGTTTACCACTTGCCATCGGGTCGATTCTGATTCATGGTGACCCCACATATGTCATAGGACTATGCTTACAGGGTTTTTAATGACCCCTTTTTCCCCCCAGAAGTAGATTGCCAGGCCTTTCTTCCAAGGCACCTCTGTTGTTGTTGTTATGTGCTGTTGAGTTGGACCTGACTCATAGAGACCTCTCCTTGGGTTTCCGAGGCAGTATCACTACAGAAGTAGATTGCCCAAACTTCCTTCCGAGGAGTGGCTGGTGGGTTTGAACCGCCAGCCTTCTGGTTAGCAGTCAAGTGCCTTAGGCACTATGCTACCAGAGCTCCTAAGGTACCTCTGGGCGGGTCCAAAGCACAGACTTTTCCCTTAGCAGGTGTGGCCATTAGCCATTTACCCCACCCAGGGACTCCAAGTAAACCAATTATAAACATGTATTTATGAAACATGAGCTCTGGTAGCATAGTGGCTAAGACACTTGCCTGCTAACCAGACGGCTGGCGGTTCAAACCAACCAGCCACTCCTTGGAAGGAAGGTTGGGCAATCCTACTTCCTTAGTGATACTGCCTCGGAAACCCAAGGAGGGGTCGCTATGAGTCGGGGCCGACTCGACGGCACACAACTACTACTACTACTACATTTATGAAACAATTAGGAAAATTTGAATACAGACAATTTGACGATATTAAAAACTTTTTGTTAATTTTTAAAGATATGATAATAGTACTGTGTTATTTTTTATTATTTTTAAGAGTTATTGCATTTTAGAGATACATCTGGGAGAAGGAGCAATGAAATGATAACGCTGCGTAGGATTTGCCTTAGAGTGATTCACTTGAGAAGGGTGGGAATGAGTGGGAATCAAGTGAAACAGGTGGTCCTTGGGTTAATAACTGCCAGGGCATCGATGGGTACTTGGAAGTTCATGGTATTTTCTCTACTTTCATAGGTAATTTTTAATTTCATAGTGAAGAGTTTAAAGATTAGAACTCCTGGGAGAGAACAATCATGGGAGAAAGAAGGGCTGTTTATGTACAGGGAGATAGTTCAAGGGGCAGGGGTGCATGGAGGGATGGACGCAGGGAAGAGGTAACTATGGGGAGGAAGTGGGAGGGGAGCTGTTGCACTGTGGTGAATTGTGGTCAATGTCATGAGGCAAAGTGTATGTGAACTGCTGTGTGGAAAGTGAATTTGCTCTATAAATTTCCACACAAATCACAATTTAAAAAAAAAAAGGCAAGATTAGAGACAGTAGTAAAATCACAAAAAATGACAAATTTTAAAATAAAGTCAGAAAGAGAGATCAGAAACTCTTTAGAGGAAGAGGGGAGGTAATTAAAACTTGGAATAAGATTACTGCATTTTATTCCTGCTTTGGTCTCAGCTTCCTAGCTCCCCAGGCAAAGCAGGTGGGTCTCCTGTTTACCTGTAAAACTGCCTCATTTTAGACTGAGGCATGGAGGCTAACTGTGCCAGGGAGGGGGATAGAATGTGGAAACCAATCCAAATAAAAAATGACCTCCCCTAAGGCAAAGCTTTAGTTGTTTGGCTTTCTTTTCCTTCCTCCCCTTCTAACTCCCCTTTCATGGGTTGACAGTATGCTGGGGGAGGCAGTTATTGAGCTAGTCTAGCACAAAGGAGGAAAATTATAAACTGGAGAGGTCCTTACTCTTAAGCTTCTTTGCAGGTAAAAATCTCCCAATAAAAACAACAGAATGTATGAACATTCTGTGACACACAGAGCTATTTTCATGTCCTTGCAGTTCGTTTTTAGAAGTAGTGCTTTGTTAGTTGGGAGACAATGCTGCCTTCTGGTCCCAGCACTGCAACAGTCCGCCTCAAGATACAAAATTGTTCAATTGTCTGATGTTTGCAGGGCAGGTGGGGAGCAGGGTAAGGAAATGAGGCTGCTCAAGGGTGTGAGGCTCAGGCTCTCAGGATATTTCTGCTCTTCAATTAAATGACAATTCTCTTTCCAACCTCCCTCTACACCTTCACCTTGTCCACACTTTAACCATCTTGAGATAGAAGAAAAACTAAACTCCAAAATCATTCATCAGACAAAACATATGGAAAGTTAAGATCCTGGATAAAACAAGAATTAAAAAGAGAAAACAAAACAAAAACTTGTTGCCATCAAGTTGATTCAGATTAACGGAGACCCCATGTATCATAGAGCAGAGCTGCTCCATGGGGCCTTCTTGGCTGTAATCTTTACAGAAGTAAAATCTAAAGATGACACTTCTTACTTCCTCCAATTTTATCCAGACATCTGTTTACTTGTATATTTACTTGGACTATGTTTACAAAGAACATGTTTTTCAGTAATGTTCTTCATCTAATAAAACACTACAAACAAATCAACTAAGGACTTCATTGTAATGGATTTGACTAATTTAAAGTATTAGGAACAATGCCTTTTTGTAACAAATAAACAGAAAGACATACCAAAGCAAAACACAGTGAGAAAAAAAGTCCATTTTGATACTGGGATTTACTGTCAGGTTATTCATGTTCACTTCTATTGGCATGAATAATAAGAAATTGATTATTTTCTATTTTGCTGCTTCTATTTCTCACATTGCTTTATCTCTTTTTTCCTCTATGTGTATCCACATGCATATACATTATTTAGGATAAATGGATAAATATGATCATACTTTTTTTTAATACAGATCAAGTCCCTTGCCTCCCCTCTTCTCTCTTCACCCAAAGTGATCCATACTAAGTTTCCTGTGGGTATCTTTTTTTATTTGTCTCTGGACTACATACACATACCCACAAACACAAGATTTTTGTTTTTGTTCTCTACTTCCTGTAGCTTGCTTTTATCACTCAACAATACTAGTGGAATTCCTCCAAGCCATCTGGTACAGTTCTAAACAATCTTTTTAATGGTTGCATAATATTCACAGTATGGATACCAATGTTTATTCAGTCATTTCCCTACTCATGGGTGTTGACTTTGATTTTATTTTTTTTCCCACTCCAAACAACAATGCAACAGATATTCCTAAACTTATAAGTTTCCATGGACTCATGTATATTTCTACAGAATCGATTTCCGAGACTGAGATGTTTGGGTTGAAGGGTCTCATCTCAATTGAGAGAATGACTGACATTTCAAAGGGAGGTCCTGGCCACCCAGCAGATGATATCTAACATATAGTGCTACTCACCTTCCACTTTCAATTCTATCGCTGCCTCCTCTTGGTATGAATGGTCTCGGAAGAAGCAGGTGTAACCACCCTCATCTGAGAACCTTACATTCCGGATCCTGAGGGCCACTTTTCCCTCACTAATAGTGTCTTTCAGCAGCTCTGTCCGGCCCCGATATTCTGGCGCCTGTTCTCCATCTTGGTCTTTGCCATTTCTGTAGAGATGAACCACCCTGGAGAAGGGGGGACGGTACCAGCCCACTTCCATTCCTGTAGCATTCCTTCCAGGAGATATGCGACATGGCAATTCCACTTCATTCCCCACCAGAGCCCGGATGGGATGCCCTGGTCCTATCACTCTGAACTGTCCTGTCCAAGACATCAAAGGAGAGACTGAAGGTCAGGGGGAACCTTCACAAACAAGCATGTCATGGGAAGGGCTGCTTCAAAACAGAGAAGGATGAAGACATTTTCTTTAAAATGAAATTCTAGAGCCAGAAGGGAGTTCAATTTTCTGTCATGAGCATATATTTAAAAAAAAAAAAAAAAAAGTCTCTAGCTGTGGAGATGCCTTGAGTACCTTGCACAGAACATTCTATCCTACCTTCTTGACAATTGCTGCCCACCTTTCTACCAACTGACCATCGGGTATTGTCACCTTTGCCATCTCTAACTCTTCAGCCTAAACTTTATGTCCCATCTTACACTGTGGTTCAGGATCTTGAAGTTTAATTCTCTCCTGGGTGTCTCTATTTAGACTTGGCCAAATTGATTCCTATTCTCCCATTAGAAGTAGTGCTTTTGTCAAACCACTCACCTTAACTGCCTCTCCACCACCTCTCAACCCTCTCTTCTTGTTCACAACTTCTCCCAAATCTCTGAGACCTTCTACCCTGGGGGATGTCTCTATCTCTTTTTTTCCTTCTGTGCCTTTGGCCCTCACTAGAGGTCCTGGACCCAGCTCTGTACATGTTCCCAGTCTTTTACCTATGTGGGATGTGTGTCCTTATTCAGACGCTAAGTTGACGGGAGATAAGGCTGGTTTCTCCATTAGAGCTGGAGAGATTTCCCAAAGGAGTGGGTGGACTGGGATTCCCCTATTAGTCTGGTGGCTCCCTGAAGTTGAGAATCGGTTTCTGGGTTGGTTTGTTTGTTTTTCTCCTCAGCACAAGGGAACAAGGCTTACGTATGAAAATTTGCTGGTGCTTGATCATGTGGCATATGGCTCTCAAACATGACAGGGTATTACAACTTCAGCAAACATTTATCAAACACTTACTATAGGACAGACTCTACTGAATATGTTGTATACCTCATTAAATTCTGACAGCAACTCTAAAACCAACAAGACCAAACCCATTGCTGTTAAGGAGTTGCTGACCTATGGTCTTGTGTTACAGAGTAAAGCTGAGCTCCATAGGGTCTGTTTTTTGGGGGGTGGGGGTGGGGATGGGGGCTCCAGTGTTTATGGCAGCAGATCACCAGGGCTTTCTTCTGCCGTGCTGCTGGGTGTGTTTGCACTGCCAGCTTAAGGTTAATATTGTTGTTGTTATGTGCTGTCGAGTCGGACCTGACTCATAGCGACCCTCCTTGGGTTTCCAAGGCAGTATCACTATGGAAGTAGATTGCCCCATCTTTCTTCCGAGGAGTGGCTGGTGGGTTTGAACCACCAGCCTTCTGGTTAATATAGTGAAGTGCAAACATGTGCCACCCAGGGACCTCAGCAACTCCAAGAGATTGCTATTATTATATTTCCTTCTTATAGGTGAGAAACCAAAGCTGAAAAGATAAGAACTGGTTTAATTTGATGTTAGGTGAAGGAGTTTGAATTCTGTTCTGAAGGCTGTAGGGAGCCACTAACGATTTCTGAGGAGGGGACCACATCAATAAAGCTGTTTTAGAGAGATAACTCATATAACAATTTGAGGATGAATTGAGGGAGGTGAGCCCAGGGGAACTGGCCTTTCAGTTCTCAGGGTCTCCACAGGACAAGAATAAAGACATGTCTTACCTGCATTGCTGATGGACAGCTGGAGGAGCAGCAGGAGGAGGGAGGGGAGGCAGCTGGGCAGAGAGGAGCTTGGTACACTTGCCATCTCACTGCTACTGGGGACAGAGAGCCCCCGCAGTGGGGTCAGGCCAAGTAGGGTACATGTCCTCTACCACTGAAAAGCCTGAAGGGAGGATCTGGGAGGGCAGTGCTGTCCCGGACCTCCCTCCGCCCCAGGCTAGGGCTGCAGCTGTGTCTGGAGGAACGGCCCACAGTCACTCTTGCCAGGCACTTACACAAAAGGGCTACAGACCAAGGGGATGACCAGGGATTGCCTTCTCCACCCCCTTGGAGGAACGGAGAAGAGGCTGCCTGGTACTGAGGCTTCCTTGTCTTTCCATTCCAGTAACCCAGCTTCTGGGAATGGGGGAGCTTCTAGGGTCCGGTTGATTGGATTGGATCACTTGCTGGAACTCAGGGAAAGGCCTGGTCATATAATCTATTAGGTTTCTTCAGTCCTGCTCCTCCTGATACTAACCAAGGGATTTCTGTTGTTTCTTTAAAATAAAAAATTTAGAGTTGGTCTCCTATTTCTACTGTGCCACAGGCCAGTCTTCTTGATGTCCAGCGTCCTCCTCATCTACTGTAAAACCAAACCTCTTTACTTATGTTCAGACATATAATGGATTGGTTCGGTTAATTAGCCTCTCACACTCAAAGGATGCATGTTGGAAAGTCCTGAGTTGAGTGTCAGAAGCTGACTGGCACCTGAGCTCAGAGAGCCAACTGAGCAAGGAAGGTAAATCGGCAAGCTTTGTCAGTCAACACAAGGGTCGAGGACAGGATCAGTGTCCAGCTTACATCCCCTCAGCCTCTGCACTGTTCTCTAATTTCCTCACTGTCACAGGGAAAAGGGAGATCAGGATGGAAATAGAACTTTGCCCCTTCTCCTTGGACTTAGCTAAGTACTAGAAGGATGAAATAAGTATCGGCACCAAGTTTCAAAATATATTTCCCAATCTAAAAGCAGGGATGGTGCACAAGTAAGGGAAATGGGTCAGGACGGCCACTTTATATTTTTATTGTGCTTTGGGTGCAAATTTACAAAGCAAATTTGTTTTGCTTTCAACAATTCATACATATTTGATTTCACGGCCCTGATTATCATCCCCAACCACAAAAAAACTGTGCTCCCCTCCCCTCCCTGTGACCACCCCCTCCCTGTGCCCTTCTTAACTATGCATTCCTGTCTGTCCAGCTTTCTCTCTAGGTGAATGCTGCCCCTCTGGTGTCTCATGGCTGATCGATCTAAGGGGTGCATCTCCCTAGAGTAGGTGCATACATCGCTCTGGGGTAGGGTTCTGCATGTAGGTCTTTCTACTGTTAGGCTGAGAGCCAATCCACAGAACTGAGTCCATTTCTAGGCCTGAAGGGTAACCTTAGGCCATAGTCTGGGGGCTTCCACCAGTCTCTATCTGACCAGTAATTCTGGTCACTTTTGTGTTTTTGAATTTTGTTTCACATTTTTGTTCTCACTCTATCCAGGATCTCCAGTTTTGATCCTTTTTCAAGTGGTTGGCATTGGTAGCTGGACACCATCTAGTTCTAGGTCACGTGAACAGCAGCAGCCTAGATCAAATCGCCAGAATACAGAGTCACAGCCTCTCAATTAATTACCAGACTTGAGTCAGTTTACAGACCTACAACCCCTTGAATGAAGGAAAGGCCAGGTCCCTTTGACGAAGAGCCCCATTACATTGCCCAAAATTTATAAGGTCAATCTTTCTCCCAGCCTTCCCCAAAGGGATCTGAGGCCTTTTACAAGAGTGACTGTTCACTGGGGAAAAGGAAATAAACAGACTTTTCAGGGATTACTGGACACTGGCTCTGAACTGACACTAATTCCAGGAGACCCAAAGCGTCATTGTGGCCCACCAGTCAGAGTGGGGGCATGTGGAAGTCAAGTTATTGATGTAGTCTTAGCTCAGGTACATCTCACAGTGGGTCCAGTGGGTCCCTGAACCCATCTAGTAGTGATTTCCCCAGTTCCAGAATGCATAATTGGAATAGATGTACTAAGCAATTGGAAGAATTCCCACATTGGGTCCCTGACATGTGGAGTAAGGGCTATTATGGTAGGAAAAGCCAAGTGGAAGCCATTAGAACTGCCTCTATCTACAAAAATAGTAAACCAAAAGCAATACCACATCCCTGGAGGAGTTGCAGAGATTACTGCCACCATCAAGGACTTGAAGGATGCAGGGGTGGTGATTCCCACCACATCCGCATTTAATTCACCTATTTGGCCTGTGCTAAAAACAGATGGATCCTGGAGAATGATAGTAGATTATTGTAAACTTAATCAGGTGGTGACTCCAATTGCAGCTGCTGTTCCTGATGTGGTTTCATTGCTTGAGCAAATTAGTACATCTCCTGGTACTTGGTATGCAGCTATTGATCTGGCCAATGCCTTTTTCTCAATACTAATTTCAAAGGACCATTAGATGCAGTTTGCCTTCAGCTGGCAAGGCCAACAGTATACTTTCACGGTGCTTCCTCAGAGGTATATCAACTCCCCAGCACTATATCATAATTTAGTCCATAGGGATCTTGATCGCCTTTCCATTCCACAAGACATCACACCGGTCCATTACATTGATGATATTATGCTAATTGGACTTAGTAAGGAAGAAGTATTGATAACTCTAGACTTATTGATGAGACAACTGTATACTAGGGGATGGGAAATTAACCCAACAAAAATTCAGGTACCTTCCACCTCAGTGAAATTTCTAGGATTCCAATGGTGTGGGGCATGCCGAGATATTCCTACTAAAGTGAAGGATAGGTTATTTCATCTGGCTTCCCGCACAACTGAAAAGGAGGCACAACATCTGGTGGGCCTCCTTGGATTTTGGAGGCAACATATCCCTCACTTGGGTGTGTTGCTTCAGCCTATTTACCAAATGACTCAGAAAGCTGCTAGTTTTGAGAGGAGCCCAGAACAAAAGAAGCCTCTGCAACAGGTTCAGGCTGCCGTGCAGGCTGCTCTGCCACTTGGGCCATATGATCCGGCTGATCTAATGGTACTTGAAGTGTCTGTAGTAGACTGAATGCCTATCCATGGACCACCAAGTCACCATGACGCCTGAGCTGCCCATCATGAACTGGGTGTTGTCTGACCCACAGAGTCATAAAGTTGGCTGTGCACAGCAGCACTCCATCATTAAATGGAAGTGGAATATCAGAGATCAGGCTCGAGCAGGACCTGAAGGCACAAATAGGTTGCATGAGGAAGTGGCCCAAATGCCTATGGTCTCCACTCCAGTCATATTACCTTCCCTCTCCCAGTCTGCACCTATGGCCTCATGGGGAGTTCCTTATGATCTGTTGACTGAGGAAGAGAAGACCCGTCCCTGGTTTACAGATGGTTCTGCGCGATATGCAGGCACCACTCGAAAGTGGACAGCAGTGGCACTGCTGTCCCTTTCTGGGACTTTGAAAGAAAGCAGTGAAGGGAAATCCTCCCAATGGGCAGAACTTCGAGCCATGCAAATGGATGTTCACTATGCATAGAACAAGAAATGGCCAGATGTAGGACTGTATACGGATTCGTGGGCTGTGGCTAATGGTTTGGCTGGATGGTCTGGGACTTGGAAGGAGCATGATTGGAAAATTGGTGACAAGGATGTATGGGGAAGAGGTATGTGGATAGATCTCTCTGACTGGGCCAAAGGTGTAAAGGTATTTGTGTCTCATGTGAATGCCCACCAAAAGGTGACCTCAGCAGAGGAGGACTTTAACAATCAGGTGGATAGGATGACACGTTCAGTGGAAACCAGCCATCCTTTTGCCCCAGCTACTCCTGTCATTGCTTAGTGGGCTCATGAACAAAGTGGCCATGGTGGCAGGGATAGAGGTTATGTATGGGCTCAGCAACATGGACTTCTACTTACCAGGGCTGATTTGGCTACCGCCACTGCTGAGTGCCCAATCTTCCAGCAGCAGAGACCAACACCGAGTCCACAATATGGAACCATTCCTTGGGATGATCAGCCAGTAACTTGGTGGCAGGTTGATTACATTGGATCACTTCCAGCATGGAAAGGACAGCGTTTTGTTCTTACTGGAATAGATACTTATTCTGGATATGGATTCGCCTTCCCTGCATGCAATGCTTCTGCCAAAACTACCATCCATGGACTTACAGAATGCCTTATCCACCCTCATGGTATCCCACACATCGTTTCAGATCAAGGGACTCACTTCACAGCAAATGAAGTGTGGCAATGGGCCTATGCTCATGGAATTCACTGGTCTTACCATGTTCCCCACCATCCAGAAGCAGCTGGCTTAATAGAACTTTGGAATGGCCTACTGAAAACACAATTATGATGCCAGCTAGGTGAACTTGAAGGGTTGGGGCAATGTTCTCCAGGAGGATGTATATGCTGCTCTGAACCAGTGTCCAATGTGTGGTGCTGTTTCTCCAACAGTCAGGATTCACAGGTCCAGGAACCAACAGGTGGAAATGGGAGTGGTACTACTCACTATTACCCCTAGTTACCCACTCAAAAAAATTTTGCTTCCTGTCCCTGCTACCCTATGCTCTTCAGGTCTGGAGATCTTAATCTCAAAGGGAGGAGCACTCCCACCTGGAGACACAATATTGATTGCATTGAACTGGAAGTTAAGAATGCCACCTGGCCATTTTGGCTTCCTCATGCCTCAAGACAAAGAAGTGCATTACTGTACTATCTGGTGTGATAGATCCTGATTACCAAGGGGAAATTGTATTGACATTACCTAATGGAGTTAAAGAAGAACATGTCTGGAATACAGGAGATTCTTTAGGATGTCTCTTAGTACTACCATGCCCTGTGATTAAAGTCAATGGAAAATTACAGCAACCCAATTCTGGTATGACTACTAATGGCCTTTAGGAATGAAGGTTTGGGTCATCCCACCAGGCAAAGAACCACAACCAGCTGAGGTGCTTGCTGAGGGCAAGGGAAGTAGAGAATGGGTAGTGGAAGAAGGTAGTTCTGAATATCAGCTACAACCACATGACCAGTTGCAGAAATGAGGACTGTGACTGTTATATTTCATTGTGTATGTGCATCAAATATTTTTGTTTCCCTCTGTTATGAACTGTGAAATATAAATAAGGTTAATGGATTTTGTTGTACACGTTAGCGTATCATGTTAGG